ATAGAATGCCAGATAGAATGCCAGACAAAATGCCAGATAGAATGCCAGCAGATATGCCAGATAAAATGACAGATAGTATGCCAGACAAAATGCCAGATAGTATGCCAGACAGTATGCCAGATAGTATGTCAGATAGATTGCCAGATAGAATGGCAGATAGTATGCTTCAAACACACAACCACAAACACAACCACAAGCTCACAACCACAAACACACAAATACAAACACATAACCACAAGCACACAGCCACAAACACAACCACAAACACGCAACCACAAACACAACAACAAACACAACCACAAACATAACAACAAACACACACCCACAAAGACACAACAATCGACACACAACCACAGACACACAACCACAAGCACTCACCCACAAACACAACAACAAAACCACAAGGACACAACCACAAACACAACCACAAATTAGCCCAGCTGGAGACCCCAATAGCAAGATACAAACCGGGACCCCAAAAAAAATCTGGAAACAGCTGCCGTTTTCAACACATCGACCATCTCTTCCTTGGACACCATCATCACATAACCGGGACACCATCACAAAATGAAAATGACCATGGCGCCATCAAAACATGACCGAGACACCGTCACAACATGATTGGGACACCATCACAACATAACCGGGACACCATCACAAGGTGACCGGGACACCAGCATGACATGACGGGGACACCATCACAACATGACCGGGACACTATCACAACGTGACCGGGACACCGTCACATGACCCGGACACCATCAAAACATAACCGGCACACCGCCAAAACATGACCAGGACACCATCACAACATGACCGGGACGCCATCAAAACATGATCGGGACACCGTCACAACATGAGCGAGCCACCATCACAACATGAATGGGACACCGTCACAACATGACTGGGACACAATCACAACATGACCGGGACACCATCACAAGGTGACCGGGACACCAACATGACATGACGGGAAAACCATCACAAGACGACCAGGACACCATCACAACATGACCGGGACACCGTCACATGACCCGGACACCATCAAAACATAACCGGCACACCGCCAAGACATGACCAGGACACCATCACAACAGGACCGGGACACCATCAAAACATGACCGGGACACCGTTGAACGCCATCAAAACATGACCGGGACACAATCACAACATGACCGGGACACCATCAAAACATGACCGGGACACCATCAAAACAGGACCGGGACACCATCACAACATGACTGGGACGCAATCAAAACATGATCGGGACAGACTCAAAACATGATCGGGACACCATCACAACATGACCGCGCCACCATCACGTGATCGGGACACCATCAAAACATGACCGGGACACCGTCACAACACGACCGGGACACCATCAAAACATGCCCGGGACACCATCACAACATGACCGGACACCATCACAACATGACCGGGGCACCTTCAAAACATGACCGGGGCACCATCACAACATGTCGGGACACTATCAAAACATGACCGGGACACCATCAAAACAGGACCGGGACACCATCACAATATGATTGGGTCACAATCAAAACATGATCGGGACACCATCAAAACATGACCGGGACACCAGCATCACATGACCCGGACGCCATCAAAACATGACCGGGGCACCATCCGCCCACCAGCTGTGACGGTGACCCGACGGCGCCCGTCCGCCTATTAGTTTTGCAAGACCCCATAGCATGGCTATTGGGGAACATAACAACAAACGCACACCCACAATCACACAACAATAGACACACAACCACAAACACACCACCACAACCACAAACACAATCACAAACACAAGCACAGCACACAACCAAAAACATAACAACAAACACACAACCACAAAGACAACAATAAACACACAACCACAAACACAAGCACAAACACATCCACAAACACACAACCACAAGCACACAACCACAAACACAACCACAAACACACAACCACAAACACGCAACCACAACAACACGACCACAAAGACACAACCACAAACGTACAGCCACAAGCACAACCGCGAACACATCCACAAACACACAATCACAAACACACAGCCACAAACACACAATCACAAACACAACCACAACCACAACACAGCACACAACCACAACCACAACACACAACTGCAGCACACACAACCCGAGGACCCACAAGCAAAATCGAGAACTGCAATACTCACGACCATGGCAACATGCTCCTCACTATGGCATCAAGTCAAATGATTGAAATGTCATGGTGGGGATCACTCGAAGTAAAGTAATTTTGCTTTTTTTGCTTTGGGGGGGTGTCCAAGACCTCCCAGGAATTGTTCTTCTTGTTTGTTTAGTAATATCTTTTTATTCTATAAATAACTTATTCTATGTAATATAATTTTTTAATTAATATTTATACATGTTTATTGTATTTTTCAATCAAAAATTATCATTATATTTCTTTATTATGAGGCTGAGACATCGCCATTCTTGGGTTAATATGATTTTATACAACTTATTACAAATATATATAAATATACTAAATATCAATGTTCCAATATACTCGAACTGTTTAAAGATTCATCTTTTATATTTATAAGAAAGTATATTTATATACAAATACAAGTATTCTATGTTCATAAATATATATATATATACTGTTAAATAAAATATTTCATATCAAAAGGTATATCTTTAGTAATTTTGCCATGTCTTCCATCAATGTTGTATTCATATTGTTATTTCAAAATATAGATATATAAATACTTATTTCCCTAATAAATCATAACTTACATGTATTAAAGGCATATTACAATAAAATATAGCTACATTAACAATGCCAAAAAATATAACAGATATATTTTAGTTCAATACAACTATATGACATGTAAAATACAAGTATATTACTATAGTTATATTACAATAAAATAACTATATTACAGATACAATACAACTCTATTACATATATATGTATAACATTTGTAAAAATAACAATATTACAATCACAATACAGATTTGTCAAAATAAAAACAAGATGGAGCCCACGAACCCGAATGCAAACACGTTCGAAAAGCTACATATGTCCAACTGACACTCTTGTAGGACACTCTTGTGGGACACTCTTGTGGGTCACTCTTGTAGGACACTCTTGTGGGACACTCTTACGGGACACTCTTGTGGGACACTCTTGTGGGACAATCTTGTGGGACACTCTTGTGGGACACTCTAGTAGGAAACTCTTGTGGGACACTCTTGTAGGACACTCTTGTGGGATACTCCTGTAGGACACTCTTGTGGGACACTCTTGTGGGACATTCTTGTAGGAAGCTCTTGTGGGACACTCTTGTAGGACACTCTTGTGGGACACTGTTGCGGGACACTCTTGTGGGACACTCTTACGGGACACTCTTGTTGCACACTCTTGTAGGACACTCTTGTGGGTCACTCTTGTGGGACACTCTTGTGGGACACTCTTAAGGGACACTCTTGTGAGACACTCTTGCGGGACACTGTTGCGGGACACTCTTGTGGGACACTCCTGTGGGACACTCATGCGGGACACTCTTGTGGGACACTCTTGTAGGAAACTCTTGTGGGACACTCTTGTGAGACACTGTTGCGGGACACTGTTGCGGGACACTCCTGTGGGACACTC